ATTTTGTATAATAGGCTTGAATTTTGAAGCCATTACAGCAGAAAGGATGTTACAGTAGGTGGGAGAGCGTGTTAGTGTCTCTGAACTTCTCAATAGGGTTCTTGGGAACAGTTGATCTCTGGAATTGATGTCCAGCAGGACATGGAGTAGCTTGGGACACTGGTGAAAGGAGTGATATTCAAAACCTCCAGGTACATCCTGAGTTCCTTTATTTTTATTTGTACCCAGCTGCTAAGGATGGCTGAGAGTGGATTAATGATTGTAATAGAGCACAGTAGTAGTGTTCAGAGTGCTTTACAAACAAGTACAAGGCAAGAATCTAGTGACCAACACTCGACATTCCTGGGCTCAGCCTGTTTATTGGATTTTGCTCAAGGACTGAAGCATTAGGCAATGTAAGACTATCATCTGTGTTCTGGATGAGGCAGCAGACTGATCCTGGAAAGTCTGGGGCTGCTGGAATGGTACAAGAAACTTTTAATTTAAGTTCTGTTATATGTATTTAACTGGAAGGCAAATAAAACTGAAATTTTATACTGGAAATAAAAATTAGTGAAGAAAAATTACAAAACTAGTTTTCTACACATCATACTGAAGTAGAGCTGGAATGGGCCTCACAAGGTCAGCTAGTCCAGCCTCCTGCTCAAGGCAGGACCATCCCAGCCAAGTGTCTGTCTAAACTGCTCTTGAAACTTCAGGGATACTTCTCTAGGTAGCCAGTTCCAATGCTTGACTGACCCTCATAGTCAGTTCTGCCTAATCTCCAACATAGCCAACCTGGGATTTGCCTTTAAAGTCCAATTCATTCTGCACAACGTTGTTAGCTTTAGAATATGAGGGAAGGAGCAGAGTGCAACTAATGAATTAAAAATTGATGAATGTAGTGTTCTAAAATGCCCACAAACACCATGAAGCTCTCCATTTAAAAATAAGAGCATTTTATTTATCATTGCATAGCTTATTTCCACTGTTGCGTTCTTAGAATTTTGGCTGGTTACTAAACTATATATGGTCATCTCAGTTTTTATTTGCAGTCAATGCAAACTCAGCATATAAATACTAGGCCCAAAAACATTTCATCCTCAGACACAAGGAAGTGTGCTATGTAGCTTTGTATGGCTTTAACAAAATAGCTCTAACAACTTGTATAAATATACCACATGTTTATATACTTTTGTTAAGAAATGCTCATCAGTATCTTAGTCTGTCTTCCAAAGCTTCCATCCTCTTTGTTATTTCTTCCAGTAGGCATAAGTTAAGGTAGAAAAAACATATCTTGCATGCGACTTATCATAAAACAGTTTGCCCGGCCATCTAAAATAATCCAGTTTTTTGGGGGGATTTTTCAGTCTAAAATATAGGAGGTAAAATTCTTCTAAAAGGTAGTAATATGACCAGATCAGTACATGTTAAACTTACAAACCTGTTTCTAACGAGCTAAATGCTATAGTTAAGCTAAACGTGCTCAGCCTTTGATCACAGCTTTCATATTTTTTTTTTTTTGGTGATTTTGGGCAAGTCACTTAAATGCTGTGTTAGTCTCCTCATTTGCAAAATATCTATGAACATGTTCGTACATCACTGTAAAATAATTTGAGATCTTCATTTTCACAGTACTAGTGAAAACTCAACAGCACAGAAATAGTGGCTAAGCTTCAGTTTTGGATATTTTGATATCAGTCGACAAATCTTAGATATAACAAACA